AAAATACGAGTTACAACATCCTTGATTCGTTTAACTTCTAATACTGGTTAATCACCCTTATACACTCTTGTATCACTTAAGACCAATAGGATTGACTTCTTATCATCTCAAAGATAATTCCTTCTTGGATTTATGTTAACTAATATATGGCCGGAACTAACACATGTGGATATGGGTTGTAACATTTACACCTAAGTTAAAGGTATAACCCTAGGATTTTCTCTATTTGACAAAACTTCAAAGATATTTTAGTAATTACTTGTTCATTAGCTATTTCTTAGTAGTTTAATTTAGCAAAATTGTTAACCACCTTTGTTTGGAAGCTAAATCTATTTATTTTAATTTTCTGCCTTGAGTATTTACCTCAACTCCCATTCTAAACTCCTTGTGGATTCGACCACGAATCACGTTAGGTAACGTGTTTATTATTGTAATGACTGTTTCATATTCCCTTAATTGGGGTGTGAATTGGATGTGATCAATTTTTGGTGCCGTTGCTGGGGAGTTTATGGTGTTAGCTATATACTTGAGTTTATCTCTTGAAGCATCGTCTTTTACTTTTGTGATTCCAGCTTGTTGAAGTGATTATAGGTTCCAAATGTCGAACAACGAACTTGGAAACATATCTTTGGGAGAGGTGGATGTCGAAGAGGTGCAACTTGATGAAATGCCTCAAGCTCCACAACAAAACCGCCGAGGCCGTGAGAAACAAGACAATGTGCTTCCACCTCCCCCACCTCCACCATCTCCATAACCACAAGTGGGTCAACACGAGATTTTTCCCAATGAAGGGTATGCAAGTGCCATAGTCCCCCATCGCATTAGGGCAGGTAACTTTTAAATTACCAATATGATGCTCACTTTGCTCGAGCAGCGATTTTATTTCACCGAGCCACCAAATCAAAGATCTTACAAGCATTTGAAAGGTTTTGCGTATACGTGTTAGAGAACCAAACAAACAAATGTCTCGAAAAATGCATTGCGGTTAAAGCTTTTTCCCTTCTTGCTAAGGGGGTAAGGCTTTGGATTGGTTGGAATGCTTGCCTAATCATTCTATTCATACATGTGATGAATTAGCGGTAAAGTTTATTTCAAAGTTCTTCTCTTCTGGGCACATGACAATTTTATGGGATGAAATATTGGCATTCAAGCAAGAGCACAATGAACTATTGCATGAAATTTGGGAGCATTATCGAACTATGGTGAAGGAGTGCCCTAATAATTATATGTCCGATAACATGATCCAACAAAATTTTTACCATGGAATCAATACCACGAATCAATATGCGGTCAATCAATTGGCTAGAGGCAATTTCATGACAACACCTTAGAGGCATGTGAGATTCTTGATGAGATGGCGGAAACTTCTTTGGCTTGGCAATCCCGAGCTGATGTTCCGCAAGGTGATACCAACATGATTCATCTTCATAAAGAATTGTAAGACCATGGGTAAGCTATTGCTGAATTGACCACAACCATGACTCAACTCGTTAAGGCTCAACTTCATCAAACTCAAGCCCCGTAGAAAGTTTATGCCATGGAAGGGGTGAGTGTTTTGTACAACAAGAAGAGGACTAAAGGTCCCCAATTTTAGTCCTGGTAGAGGCTTATGCACATGATGATGTAGGTTATGAGAAAGATGACTTTTATCAAGAGCAAGGAGAAGAGGTAAAATTTGTGAACAACTACCAAGGGAAACAGAGCAATTTTCAAGGCTCCAATCAAAACCAATACCATTTTAAAAACAACCAAGGCAATTAGGTTTCTAACAATCAAGGGAATTGGCATATCAACAACAACAACCAAGAGAATTGGGGAGGTAACAATGAAGGAAATTTGGGAAACAATTTAATCATGCAAATCTAAGTTTGGGTTTACAAATACCCCCAATGTACCAACAACCAAGCAACCCACCTCTTTATCCTTCCCACTGTTCAAGTTCTTCAAGCAAAAAAGTTGGGTTGTATTGAGAACAATTCAAGCAATTGATGGAAAAGAATGCGGATTCGGATGTCCAACTTGCCTCACATACCACATCAATCCATAATCTTGAAGTTCAAATAGGAAAAATCTCTCAAGCTCTTAATAGTTGTTCTAAGGGTGCATTACCAAGTGATACGATAGTGAACCCAAAGGCTGGTAACAATACGGTGCTTGCTATGGCGGTTATCACAAGAAGTGGAAGAGGCGGAAATGCACCTACCTCAAATGAAAAAAACTCAAGGATTATGACCAAATGATCCAAGAGGAGTGAATCCCACAAAATGATGTGCAAGTACAAAATGATGTTCAGATTGATATTGATGATAGTGTGGAGACCCGAGTTGCGGTGAACCCATCTAGGGAACACATCATTGCCATGCCGAATTCGATGGTACAAAAGGCTAAGGAACCCTTGGCAAAGCCTCCACCCCGTACCCTCAAACGCTAACTAAGAAAAATGGTGAGAATTAATTCAAGAAGTTCATTCATATGATGAAAGGTCTCTATATTAATGTGCCATTGGTTGAAGCTTTGGAACAAATGCATGGTTATGCCAATTTTATGAAAGAACTCGTGACCAAGAATAGGTCGATGAACTTTGAAACTATCAAGGTCACTTATCAAGTGAGTGCAACTGTTTATTCCATGGCTTCTAAGTTGGAGGATCCCGGTGCTTTCACAATTCCTTGTACTATTAGAAGTGCCATTTTTGCTAAAGCTCATTTTGATCTCGGGGAAAGTATCAATTTGATGCTCTATTTGATGTTCAAAACTAATGGGATTGGGAAACTTAGACCCAAATATATGAGGTTACAAATGGCCGATCATATAATGAAGAGACCATTGGGAATAATTGAGGATGCATTAGTTCGAGTTGATAAATTTATTCTTCCAGTGGACTTTATGATTCTAGATTTTTAGGTTGATTATGAAGTGTCTCTCATTCTCGGTAGGCCTTTCCTTGCTACGAGTAAGGCCCTTTTTGATGTTGAAGCCAGGGAACTCACTCTTTTGGGTTGGTGATGAACAAGTGTTATTTTATGTGTACAAGTCTATGCGGCAACCAAATATCAATGATGTGTGATATTTTGTGGACTTGGTGATTGATTCCATTATTGGTGATACAAGTGCTACAATCAATGTAGGTGACATGTTAGAAACCTTTTTGCTCAACTTTGATGATGATGAGATAGATGGTTTCTTGGAATGTGTGAATTCGTTGCAAGGAATAAGGTCTTACAACTATGCATGTTGAAAGTTGTCATTGGATCTTGAGAATAGGAAGTTAACGACTCCTCAAAGCCTTCAATTGAAGAGCCACCGACCTTGGAGTTGAAGCCATTGCTACCTCACTTTCCGTATGCATTTCTTGTCCCTTGTTCTGCTTTACTTGTTATTCTTTCCTCATGTTTAACATGCATGTAGATTCCATATTCGCGGTCTTGAAAAGAAGAAAAAAAGATATTGCATGGATTTTGGTGGATATTTGGGGTATAAGCCCCGCATTTTGCATGTATAAGATCAAGTTGGAGGATGGTGCTAAACCGTCCATTGAACATTAAAGAAGACTCAATGAGGCTATGCAAGAGGTGGTCAAAAAGATGATTATCAAATGGTTGGATGCCCGGGTTTTCTACCCTATTTTCGATAGCTCATGAACTTCTCTGGTCCAGTGTGTCCCAAAGAAGAGGGGCATGACAATTGTTACCAATGATACGAATGAGTTGATACCTATAAGAATGGTCAGTGGTTGGAGAGTTTGTATAGATTATTGTAAGCTAAAGAAAGTCACAAGGAAGGACTATTTTCCTCTTCCTTTCATGGATCAAATACTTTATAGGTTGGCCGGCCGTGCCTTCTATTTCTTTCTTGATGGTTACGCGGAATACAACCAAATTCTTATTGCACCGAAAGGCCAAGAAAAAACCACCTTTACATGTCCATATGGTACTTTTGCTTTCCAACATATGCTTTTTGGATTGTGCAATGCACTGACGACTTTTCAACAGTATGTGATAGCTAGTTTCAAGGACATGGTGGAAGACTATCTTGAAGTATTCATGGATGACTTTTTGGTGTTTGGGGATTCATTTGGTGATTATCTTGCCAATTTGGACAAGGTGTTCGCTAGATGTTAGGAATTAAACTTGGCACTCAATTGGGAGAAATATTATTTCATGATTGAGAAAAGTATTGCCCTAGGCCATAAGATTTCAAAGAAGGGTATTGAAGTGGATAAGGCGAAGATTGAAGTTATTTCAAAGCTTCCTCTCCCTACCTCGGTGAAGGGTGTGAGGCGTTTCTTGGGCCATGCGATATTCTATTAGCGATTTATCAAAGGCTTTTCTAAGGTGGTGAATCCTTTGTGCAAATTGCTAGAGAAGGATGCCAAGTTCCATTTCAATAATGATTGTATGAGAGCTTTTGAACAATTGAAGCTAAAGTTGACAACCACTCCAATCATTAATATCCAAATTGGAGTTTGACATTCGAGCTCATGTGTGATACAAGTTATGTAGTGGTTGGTGTTGTTTTGGGGCGACGTATCAACAAAGTTATTCATTCAATATACTATGTTAGTAAGACCATGAATAGTGCCCTAGTTATTTATACCGTTACAGAGAAGGAGCTCTTTGCCATTGTGTTTGCTATTGAGAAGTTCCGCCCATACATAATGTGTGCCAAAGTTATTGTCCACATGGATCATGCATCGCTTCGCTATCTTATGAGCAAAAAGGAATCTAAAGCTCGTCTGATGGGATGGGTGATTTTGTTGCAAGAGTTTGATATTGACATCCAAGACAAGAAGGGAAGTGAAAATCAAGTGACAGACCAATTGTCTTGTTTGGAGGAGGCAGGGAAGCCATATTATGGCCTTGATATCAATGACTCTTTTTCCGATGAGCAACTCTTGGCACTTTCATTGAAAGAGGTACCATGGTTCGCGGATTTGTACGATTTTCTTGTGAGTGATATCATTCCGGATGATTTATCTTCAAACCAAAGGAAGAAGATCAAGAAGGATTGCAAGGACTACTATTGAGAAATCATACCTTTTCCATATTTACACGTATGGGGTGATTATAAGATGTATGCCGGAGGAGGAACAAAGTGATAATTTTGGGGCTTGCCATTCTTCGCCCTATGGTGGTCATCATGGTAGAGCACGAACAACGGCTAAAGTTATAAGTTGTGGTTTCTATTGGCTTACTCTCTACAAAGGTGCAAATGAGTTGGTAGATGTGATGAATGTCAACGGGCCAGTGAAATTTTAAAGAAACATGAGATGCTCCTTACAACCATCTTGGAGATTAATATCTTTGTTGTTTGGGGCATTGCCTTCATGGGCTCTTTTGTGAGTTCTTATGGAAATACCTACATTTTGGTCACAATGGATTATGTGTGTAAATGGCTGATGCGGTTTCTTTGCCCAATAATGAGGCTAGAACTATGGTGGCTTTCTTGAAGAGAAATATTTTCACAAGATTTGGCACTCCGCGGGCAATCAAAAGTGATGGAGGGTCGCATTGTTACAGCAAGGCTTTTAACACTTTGCTTGGCAATAATGGTGTCACTCACAAAGTGACAACTCCCTATCAACCACAAGCAAGTGGTCAAGTGAAAATTTTCAACCGTGATATAAAGAGTATTTTTTCCAACACGGTGAATGCAAATTAGATGGATTGGTCTAAGAAGCTTGATGATGCTCTATGGGCATATTGAACGGCTCACAAAACACCTATCAGGATATCTCCATACTGGTTGTTATTC